GACTTTGGGAATACTACAAATCGTATGCCTGAACATAATGTGTGAAAATTTCATTTCTTTTCAACCAATTTGCTTGAAATTAGTAACAAATAACATATTTGTAAAATAATGGGTGTTATTGTTTTATTAAATATTAGTTTTTTTTTTATTAATATATAGGAGGTTTATAGAAGGTAATAATTTGCTTATTTTTTCAGTGATTTTAGGGAACTAACATAAGTATAAAAAATAGAGTGCGACAAACAATTTATGATTTCTTGTAAACTCTTAATACTTGATTATTAGTAAGAAAAGTTGTTTTTTGAAAAACTTGAATATATTTTGTATGTATAACAGATAATAGTGAAATTGACTAAATTTTTACATTTTTTCATTTATAAAATTTTGCTTTTTATTAAAATTAAAATTTTTTTTACACATTATGAATAACTTAGAGGGTTTTAAATAGCAATGAAAGAACGGGTAAGCACAAAAATTTACTAAATTTATTGAAATGTAGCTGAGCATATAACGCTATTTCGATTATTGCTAAGTTCTCATCAACTGTGATCTTAGAAAATATTCGAATTTTTTAATTAGTTCATAGTCTGTATACAATTTGTTTGGACTGCAAGTGCCATGCTTAAAACTCATTCCTGTCAAATTATGAATAAAATATGAATAACAATATCCTAAACTTTGAAAATAGTGAAGAATTTACAAATTTTACAATTTTACAAAAATTTTATAAAATATTAATAACTCGAGAATAAATAAATAGATCAATCCCATTTTTGGCTCAAAGTTATGTTTTTGTACATATAATGGACTTAAATCACCTAACAGAAATATAAAGGTTTTTAAAAACAATAAACAATTTCTATGAAAATTTATTTTTGTGGGGGAATAATAAAATAATATAATATAATAAAAGTTTTTAAGTCTTAGTAATAGAGTATAAGTATCTAGTATATCAAATTTTATTTATCTATTTATTTATCTATTTAAATTTTTAAAGAATTCAAATTGTCCAAATTTCATTTTTCTATCTATTATAGTTGAACCTATTATATTTATACAGTAAGTATACGAATGAAACAAATTTCATTTTTCTGCTTGTAATAGTTTTTAAGGAAATTCAAAAAGATGTACATATTTGGACCTAATTTTGGAAAAGTTCCGGTATATGTAATAGACTCAAAACCGAATAAAAGAAACCCCATCTCAATAACTCTATTCACAAAAAATTTTATTTCACTTTTTTTAATGATTTTAATTTTGATCATATAATTTTGATTCTGCGACACTGTGCGATGCAAACATACGCCTAAAAGTGGACAATATTTATTTATTTGCTTAGTTTTGATTCTGTAGACAAAACATGGAAACCTAAATCACTTGCAGTACATTTTATACAAATAATTGTAAACATAAGTAGTAGAGTACTACTACAAGATACGATTAACATCAATAATATCAAATGAAAAGCTTAAAATAAATTAAAATAAAAAAGAAAAATATGTGAAGCAGGCAACTAATTAATTTATGTGTGCATGCATGGAAATTATATGCAAAGCGACAACACTCATTTGCACATAAATATGCAAATTTGTGAAATTTTTCCAAATATGTGCAACAGAATTTTAATGCATAAAATGCAAACAAAAAAAAACACTCATATTTAGTTTGTTTATGTGTTTATGTGAATTTACTCAAGTCATACTATGTTAGGTGGGACGTTGTTAAGAGTTTGCAATTATGCAAAGTGGCGCACATTTTTACACTCAATTCATAATAAACTCATACACTTATACACTCATACACATCTATATACACATACACATAAGTAGAGGCAACAACCCATCCAACGTATGTAAACAGGAATAATTTATTGCTACAATAATTTTGCATTTATTTGCGTTAATTTTACTTTATTTCCTGGCACAAATACATGAGTGTATTTTTTTTTCTTCGT